ATCAGTGAGATCTCTCATTCCTGCCTCTAGCACGGTAAGTGCTGACAGTGAGATCTCTCATTCCTGCCTCTAGCACGGTAACTGCTGACAGTGAGATCTCTCATTCCTGCCTCTAGCACGGTAAGTGCTGGCATCAGTGAGATCTCTCATTCCTGCCCCTAGCACGGTAAGTGCTGGCATCGGTGAGATCTCTCATTCCTGCCTCTAGCACGTTAAGTGCCTCCAGCAGGACAAGTGGTATCATGACAAGCTCGATACGTTTTCTGTCATTTCATATTCACTGTTGGTTCAATAGACACAGATTCACGCCCACAAAACGAATAACTATACAAATCCAAGAAGAAAGTAAACTTAAACGTACACCGTGCCAGGCGGCTACTGGTTAGCTTATCAACGCGGAGGCTTCTTTCAATCTTAGGATATTCCATATGAGATAGGTGGCGAGAACGTGACAGAGGGGCACGTCGCTCTTCAATAACTTTGACTTTCCCGTGCCAGTACTCCGTGCCCATTTATCATCATGGGCTAATATAATAGGTCCATTTGAGTCCGCAGTCCCCCCACCCCTTTTTTTACAGCGTAAGAGATGTGAAAGGAAGAGGCACTGACCTATCTGACCATACTGTCACAACATCTGTTTGGTTGAGTCTAGATTGCTCAATAATTCTGCATCAAATGCATATAACATTTACGTTAGCCACGATTATATATGGTCATTAGAAAGAACCGATGAAAAGTGATCGCAATGCATTTCAAGATACATACAATTCCTGAATTTGATCTGAAGGGCTTCCTAGTTCAAGATTTTACCTCCCGAATAGCATGAGTCAGTGATACGTCTTGAGGCAACCTTTTTAATGACTATTTTCTAGATGTATTTCTTCTTGAATAATTCAGGAAGCATTTAAGCTGCATAGATCATATAGCATTAGGTGTGAAGCCGACTCTGGAAGACGAACTTGAAGCATGTCGGAGGAATCGGCCTTTAGCTTCTATTAAATTGTTGTTCCACGACGACAAAGACTTCAGTTAGAATATTCGAAACCGGAACCTCAGAACATGAAGCAGTAATGGTAATTGCTACACCTCGTTGCAGTAGTGATTCTAGTGACAGTCCAACGAAGGAAGGCTCTAGTGATGAAAGTTTTTTAAGGCAGGGAATTTTTAGCGTTTCGATTGGATGTCGCAGTTAAGTCTATAAAACGAATATTCTGATACTACAAGCATAACACGGAGATAAATTGTTGTCTCCTTTCATTCATCTTCCCTTACGTGTGAGCCAACTATTGGTACATCTAGATTTAAGGCAGTGCATGTTACAAGAGCAACATCATACCACAAAATTGGTGTTATTTTCTTTATGGCTTTGCACATATCTTGCCTTCGTAATCGCCATTTACTTATGTGTTCACTCTTCTGACGTTATTCAAGGTGCATCTAATAATTTTGTGAATTATCAGCATTTTGTCGCGTGTTTCCTTGGCAACGCGACAAGAAAATTTGCGTGGTTCTCGGATTTGAACGAATATTTATTGGACAATCACACTTTACACTCACACTTACAATTATTCACTCTTATAACGTCTTCAGGCGTTTCTTCTTCAATGTTATCACACTCTTGCACCGCTATTCTCAGTGAAGTGTCTTCTGCTTGGCACTCAACTGTCCTTACCTCTCGTCGGATACGAACTGTTATATCCTGCACTCGGACAGAATACGGAACACCTTGTCGAAGGGTTAATTTCGTCAGCTGCTATGCAACGAATCTCTTGTTAAAGGAGATAGAAAAAATGTACAAATATAAATAAACAAAAAAGAAAATCAACGAATAAAAATAAACAGTAAAATAAAATATTGTCACTGTCACCACTTGACTGCTGGCCCAATACTGCAATGTAACCTCTCAA